ATGGCCTGGGAAGCCGGTAAGGGGTCTCATAGCGCTGGCAGGAACGAACAGACAGTTCTGGGGAGGAGGTGAGTAGTCTCTGACTGCGTGTGGCTGGAACAGCGTGATGGGAGTTGTTGGAGCATGGAGAACTTGGTCCGATCAGCGTGGGAGTCTCTGACCGCATGTGGCTGGAACAGCGTGATGGGAGTTGTTGGAGCAGGGAGAACTTGGTCTGATCATCGTGGGAGTCTCTGACCGCATGTGGCTGGAAAAGCGTGATGGGAGTTGTTTGGAGCAGGGAGAACTTGGACCAATTGGCGTGGTAGTCTCTGACCGCATGTGGCTGGAACAGCATGATGGGAGTTGTTGGAGTTGATGGCCCCTGAAGATATAGGGCCCATCGGGTGGGGCAGGCAAAAGTGATTTCTACTTATCCAAACCGGTCTTTCATGGGTGCCACCATCTTGTCCCAGCAGGTCCTCTTCAGCTGCTTCAGGGCATGAGTACAGCCAGGGCCGGTGCAAGGATTTTTGCCGCCCTAGGCAAAAGTAAAGTTTGCCGCCCCGTGACATCACAATGCCCCACCCATATGACCTGCCATGTTAACTAACGCTAGTGCTGCAGTGCCGCTGTGTTTACATTAAAAGGCCTGCAGGGACAGGCTATAGACACCAGGACTACTACATTAAGCTGCAGTGGTTCTGGGGACTATAGTGTTTCTTTAATGTGAGGTAAATTAGAGATTAGTGCCACGAATAATATACTAGATTACCTACTTACAACCAGATGAGGATGATGATGGGCTGGCTCTAGCTGCAGTCTGGCTCCACTGGTCTGGTGTATAACAGGATCTCTGGAGGCTGTTTGTAACTGTGGTCACAAAAATCAATGTTCTGGGAGAACGAGAAGCAGCTCCATTTTTGGGGGCCCTTTACACAGCTCAAGGTCTGGGTCCCAGGGTCCACCTTCATGTTCCACCAATGAGTTTGTTCACAGGGGGTGGAGTGTGTAGGGGATGTCCTGATTTGTGTGTAAGGAAAGCATTGTGTGAATCTGTGTTTGTATGTGTAAGGGCTGCAAGGTGTGTTTCTGTGTATGTAAGGGATGAAGTGTGTGAGTCTGTAAGGGGTGCTTTGAGTGTGTGTAAGGAATGCATTGTGTGTTTATGTGTGTGTAAGGGATGCATTGTGTGTAAGGGTTGCATTGCGTGTGTGTGTGTAATGCATTGTGTGTGTAATGCATTGTGTGTTTTTCTGTGTGCAAGGGGTTCATTGTCTTTGTGTGTAAGGGGTGCATTGTGTGTGATTGTGTGTGTGTGTGTGATGGATGTCAATCTCTCCCTCCTCCCTTGTCACTCTCTTCTCCCCCCCCCTCCCTTGTTACTCTCATTCCCCCTCCCTCCTGTCCTCCCCCTCCCTGTCAATTTCTCTCTCCCGTCAATTCCCCTCCCTGTCAATGTCTCCCCCTCCTGTTAGTTCCCCCCTGTTGGTTTCTTCCCCCCACCACCTCCCTGTTAGTTTCTTCCCCCCACCTCCCTGTTAGTTTCTTCCCCCTGTTAGTTTCTTTCCCCCACCTCCCTGTTAGTTTCTTTCTCCCCCCCCTCCCCTCCCGTTCTTTGCCCCCTCCTGTTTCTTTCTTCCCCCCTCCTTCCTGTTTCCTTCTCCCCTCCCTCCCTCCCTGTTTCTTCCTCTCCCTCCTCCTTTTCCCTCTCCCTCCTTTTCCCCTCCCTCCCTCCCTGTTTCTTCCCCTCCCTCCCTGTTTCCTTCTCCCCTCCTGTTTCTTTCTTCCCCCTCCCTCCCTGTTTCTTTCTTCCCCACCCTCCCTCCCTGTTTCCTTCTCCCCCCTCCCTCCCTCTTTCTTCCCCCTCCTCCCCTACCTGTGTTGTAGCGTGGCCGAGCCCATTATAGTCCGCGGGTACAGGGAACTGTTGTTTCCTGTACCCGGCCGGACTAACAGGAAGTGCACACTCAGTGTGCACTTCCTGTTAGTCCGGCCGGGTACAGGAGACAGCTGCTCTCTGTACCCGTCGGACCATGCTGCAGTGAGGGAGCTGACAGGAGCGCTCCCTCCTGTCAGCCTCTCTCCTCAGGCTGCGCCCGGGCGGTGCGGTCCGCCCTCAT